AAAAAATTAGCCGGGCATGGTGGCGCATGCCTGTAGTCCCAGCTACTCGGGAGGCTGAGGCAGAAGGATCGCTTGAGCCCAGGAGTTGGAGGTTGCTGTGAGCTAGGATGACGCCACAGCACTCTAGCCCAGGCAACACAGTGAGACTCTGTCTCAAAAAAAAAAAAAAGAAAAAGAAAAAGAAATGAGATAAAAGAGTTTCTCATCATGAATTGATGATCTTAAAATTTGTTTCATTTGTATAGGATTTCTCCCATTTCTCCAAGTTGAACTAGACACACCATTAAAGAGCAATAAGACTTGTAGTGACCAGAGTAAAAATATAGATCAAAATCCACATGTTCAAGGTGCTGTTAAGCTTATAAGGAAGTGATGGTGGACAAAGACTTAAAGATCTGAAAACCAAGTTGAGTGTTTGGAGACCACAGAATCATACATGAACTTATAGATTGAATGCGTATCTCTAGTGCTGTCAGTCTCACCCATTGTCCTGTACACATGTGGAATGTTTTAGGAGTCGGTAGCCTTTGAGGATGTATCTGTGAACTTCACCCAGGAGGAGTGGGCTTTGCTGGATCCTTCACAGAAGAAACTCTACAAAGATGTGATGCGGGAAACATTCAAGAACTTGGCCTCTATAGGTAAGGATGATGTCATTTCTTCACTTAGTCAATTAGGGAAGAAGTATTTCTTGTTTATCATCACTATTCCAAGATTTGGAATATGAAAAGTCAATACTTTGGTAAATTAACCAGACATGGTCACAGCTCATCATGGACCTAGAATCTAATAATTTCTCATAATTTATAATGATTATTCTGGATCTACACTTTAGGGAAAAAATGGGAAGACCAGAACATTGAAGATCAGCACAAAAATCAGGAGAGAAATCTAAGGTGAGTCACACTCACAAGAGATAGCAGTATCCCTCAAAAGAAGCAGTGTCCCTCGAAAGAATCTTCATTTGTTATGAAATTTTTAAAACAAGCAAACAAAACAAATAAGCCCAGCTTCACATGTATTTATTCTCAGAAAATTTTTACCAAAAATGTTTTCTTAAGTGACATAGATGTTCAGTGTTTGAAAAATATCGTACTTGGAAAGAGTGTTTTAAAACCCCATATATCAATGTGGCATTGATAATAGGTATAGATGAGCCCTCTTGCAGAACATTGAGTATATTCATTTTCAAACAGTTCAGACAGGTCAGGAAACTTACAGTTTCCCTGAAAATGATAAAAAGCTAATTCTGCTACATAGTAATAAATATAAAAGCATTAATATACAACCATTATTAACGTGCTTCTAATTTTTTGCAGAAGCCATATGGTTGAGAGACTCTGTGAAAGTGAAGAAGGTAATCAGTGTAGAGAAACCTTCAGTCCAAATCTCACTTTGGCAAAGCAGACTACTGGAGTAAAACCATATGAATGTAGTGTGTGTGGAAAAGTATTCATGCGTCGTTCATCCCTTACAAGGCATGTGAGGTCTCACACTGGACTCAAACTAGATGAGAAGCCATATAAATGTAAGGAATGTGGGAAAGCCTTTAGTTATCTCAAATCTTTTCAAAGACATGAAAAGTCTCACACTGGAGAAAAACCCTATAGATGTAAACAGTGTGGAAAAACCTTCATATATCACCAACCCTTTCAAACACATGTACGGACTCACACTGGAGAGAAACCCTACCAGTGTAAGCAATGTGGCAAAGCTCTCAGTTGTCCCAGTTCTCTTCGAATTCATGAAAGGATTCACACTGGAGAAAAGCCCTATGAATGTAAAAAATGTGGGAAAGCATTCAGTTGTCCCAGTTCTATTCGAATACATGAAAGAACTCACACTGGAGAGAAACCCTATGAATGTAAGGAATGTGGCAAAGCCTTCATTTCCCATACAAGTGTTCAAACACACATGATAACACACAATGGAGATAGACCTTATAAATGTAAGGAATGTGGGAAGGCATTCATTTTTCCCAGTTTTTTACGAGTACATGAAAGAATTCACACTGGAGAGAAACCCTACAAATGTAAACAATGTGGTAAAGCCTTCAGATGTTCCACTTCCGTTCAGATTCATGAAAGAACTCATACAGGAGAGAAACCTTATAAATGTAAGGAATGTGGGAAATCCTTCAGTGCTCGTCCAGCCTTTCGAGTACACCTGAGAGTACATACTGGAGAGAAACCCTATCAATGTAAAGAATGTGGGAAAGCCTTTAGTCGTACCAGTTACTTTCGAATACATGAAAGGACTCACACTGGAGAAAAACCATATGAATGTAAAAAATGTGGGAAAACCTTTAATTATCCTCTAGATTTGCAAATACATGAAAGAAATCACACTGGAGAAAAACCCTATGAATGTAAGGAATGTACAAAAGCCTTCATTTCTCTTGAAAACTTCCGAAGACACATGATAACGCATACTGGAGATGGACCCTATAAATGTGTGGAATGTGGGAAAGCATTCATTTTTCCTAGTGCATTACGAACACATGAAAGAACTCATACTGGAGAGAAACCCTATGAATGTAAACGATGTGGAAAAGCCTTTAGTTGTTCTGGTTATGTTCAAATACATGAAAGAACTCATACTGGGGAGAAACCCTATGAATGTAAGGAGTGTGGGAAAGCCTTCATTTATCCTACAAGCTTTCAAGGACACATAAGAATGCATACGGGAGAGAAACCCTATAAATGTAAAGAATGTGGGAAAGCATTTAGTCTTCACAGTTCCTTTCAAAGACATGAAAGAATTCACAGTGGAGAGAAACCTCTTGAATGTAAGCAATGTGGAAAAGCCTTCAGTTTGTCCACATCCTTAAAAAAACATGCGAGAATGCACATTGGATAGAAACCCTACCAATGTGAGAAGTAAGGGAAAGTTTTTAATTTTAACAAGTACTGTCAAATTTGCGAAAATTTCCACTATAGAGAAAGCCTATAAATGTAATTAATGTGGAAATCTAGATGCAAGGTAATTCATGTACAGTCAGATGCCACATAATGAAGACCACATATACGACAGTGGTCCCATGAGATTATACTAGAGCTGAAAATTTTCTATTACCTAGTGATGTCATAGCAGTTGTAACATCATAATACAAGACATTACTCAAGTCTTTGGTGTTGCTGGTGTAAACAAACCTGCATTTCCAGTTGTGTGAAAGTATAGCACATATCTTATGTGCAATACATGACATGTGGGGATAAGTGACTATATTACTGGCTTATATATTTACTATACTTTTATTGTTATTTTAGAGTATACTCCTATTTATTAAAAACAAAAAAGTTAACTGTAGGACGGGTGCGGTGGCTCATGCCTGTAATCCTAGCTCTCTGGGAGCCTGAGGCGGGCAGATTATTTGAGCTCAGGAGTTCGAGACCAGCCTGAGCAAGAGCAAGACCCCATCTCTACTAAAATAGAAATTAATCAGACAACTAAAAATAGCTGTAGTCCCAGCTACTCGGGAGGCTGAGGCAGAAGGATCGCTTGAGCCCAGGAGTTTGAGGTTGCTGTGAGCTAGGCTGACGCCACGGCACTCACTCTAGCCCGGGCAAAAGAGTGAGACTCTGTCTCAAAAAAAAAAAAAAAAAAAAGTTAACTGTAAAACAGCCTCAGGCAGGTCCTTCAGGAGATAATCCAGAAAGAATTCTTATCATAGGAGATGACAGCTCCATGTGCATTAGTGCCACTGGAGACCTTCCAGTTGGACAAGATAAGGAGGTAGAAGACAGTGATATTGATGGCCCACACCCCATGTAGGCCTAGGCTAATATATGTGTTTGTATCATGTTAACAAAAAAGTTTACAAAGTAAAAAAGTATATATATTGCAAAATATTTAACAGAAAACATACAATAAAGCTGTTAAGTAGGAAAATATTTTTGTACAGCTATACAATGTATGTTTTAAGTGCTATTACAAAACAGTCAAAAAGTTTAAGGAATCTTAAATCTTATAAAGTATTAATCAAAGAGTTACTATAAGCCAAACTTAATTTTACTACTGCAGAAGGAAAACTATTTTTTTATAAATTTGGTGTCATGTAAGGGTACAGTGTTTATAAACTACAGTAGTGTACAGTAAGTTCTAGGCCTTCACATTCTCTCACTAATTCACGCAGAGCAACTTCTAGTCCTCAAGCTCCATTCATGGTAAGTGCCCTATACAGGTGTACCCTGTGTTATGTTTTATGCTGTATTTTTCCTGTACCTTTTCTGTGTTTGAGTATGTTTAGCTACACAAATACTTACTGTGTTACAACTCGAAGAAAATGTTATGAAAGTCAAAAATATGTTTATCAGTTGCTTTATTCTTCCAGTGCATCTCTGGACTGTGGATTGCTACTTCTTACTTTTGCAAGGAAGCTTTGAAGTGAGATAGTTCTGTAAATACTCTTTAAGCAATAGTCCAAAAGTTTAAAAGATTGTGTTTTCTCATGAAATCAATTAATAAACTTTTTCTCTTTTTATTTTGACATCTGGATCCATGGGTGAATTGAAGTGTATTTGTAATATACAATTAGGTTTGATATTTCTATCATTTTTCAGTTCTCTAAGAGCTCACTGAAAAATGACACATTGGTAATTGTGGGATTTTTCCTGCTGGCCTTGTGCAGAAGGTAATGGATATATCTCTTAGCCATTATATATTCCACCTTTCTTTTGAGAAAAACCTTTTAAGTTTTTTGGCCAGAATGGCCTTATTCCATTTTCCTTTTTGTTAAATATCTGGCATAAACTGGTAAGTATGCAAAGTTTATCTAGAGTACAGTCTCATGTGAATTATACTCACCTTCACCCTTTGTTCTTTATTATTCCTTCTGGCTGGGATTTGGATAATAGAGTTTGAATTAAGAAGAGACATCTGTGGGCCCCTTAGAGACCCCACCTGCAAATGGAAGCACACTCGGGGTTAGAGCTTAAACATATGAATTTGGTGGAGGGGACACATTTATTCCATAGCATTCCATCCCTGGCCCCCAAAATTCATGTGCCTTCCCACATGCCAAATACATATATTGCATCTCAACATCCCTGAAGGTCTGGACTCATTCCACTATCAACGCTATAAAGTTCAAAATCTCATCTAAATACATATATAATAACTCAAGTCTCACCCATACCTGATTTGGGTGAAAGGCTCAAGACACAATTCATCCTGAGACAAAGCTCCTCTCACTGTGAACCTGTGACACCAGACAAGTTATGTACGTCCAAAATAGAGTGGTGACCAGCAAGGCGAAGTCCATTAGACCTTAAGGTTTGAGAATGATCCTTCGGGTTCAATGCTCTGCCTTCCATGTCCAGCGGGGTGAACGGCGTGAGAAGTGTCACCCCTAGGGCTCTGTGGTGCTGCCTGCTTCTTCAACTGAACGAGGCAGCCCTACCCACGCGGGTCGCTGTGAGGGGAGCCCCACACCTGAGACACTTGAGAGCATTCCGGCCTTCTGAAACCAAAGAGGCAGTCCCAACCCTTTGAGTCTGAGGAGGAACTGCCCCTGCCCCCAGGTCCCATGGTAGGAGCAACAGTCCCGATGATCGAATGCGCAGGCGCAGGACGGGCTGCGAAGGCATCTCAAGGGAGGGGTGGGGCAGAAGCAAGGGAAGCCTCGCCCACACCCACAGCTCAATAGCTTCTGGTCTTTTCTTGCCTCCCCCCAACCTTTGGTGCGAGCTCCCGCCTTCAGAAGTGGTGGCCCCCTGGTGACAATACACAAACAAAGGCCTGGGGGACGACAGTGACACTGCAGCAGAAGCTGGGGCACTTAAAGAGATCGCAGTGGAGGAAGGACATGGCTCGGAGCGAGGAGTTAGACATCTGCCCTTAGTTAGCTTACAAGGGGAAGGGGAAGTAACAAGGTTAGGTAGTGAGCGGTGCGTCCTGGAAGCGTTTATAGCTTGGTGAGGGGCTGGAACAAAACAACTCCAGCCATTTGGGTCCCCGATCTCCTTAGCTTCCTGTTTTATTGGTTTTTATGGCATTGGAGTTTTTGTACTGTGAGGGCCCGGCAAGTGTGAAGCCCCCTTCCTATCAGACCTGCCGAAGGACCCTCCTTTGGGAATTAGTTTCAGAGCCAGGAGATGCCCCTCTGCCACAGGGGATGGGAACAATTTACTCTGTGAAGATCAAATGGAGGTGGGCCCATGATGACGCCCCTGTGTGACCCTGCGCCCTGTGATTTATTATTATTGATCTCCTCCTATGTACCAGTCCTGCTAGCGCTTCAGGGAACCAAGCTGAAGAAATACTCCTGTCCCCTTGAAGCTGACATTCTAGGAGACAAGAAACAAGAGATACAAGTAAAATATGCATTGTATCGGATGATGCTTAGTCCTAAGGAGGGAGAGGAAGCTGAAGGAAGCTGCATTATGGAAGGAAAGGAGAGGCCTGGGCTGTGTATGTCTCTGGGAGCATCTGTTGGTGTCGCCCTCTTTTGGAGGTCAGGCCGTTAACTCTGAGGGATTGTGAGCTTGTGTTTATCTGAGTGAGTCCACCAGTATGTCCCAGTGACAAAGTCTGTAGTTTTGTATGTCTGAGTGGTGGTCCCTGTGTCCTGATAGCAGTGTGTCTGTGTGTCCCACTGCCAGGCAGTGGTGTGTTTCCCAGTCTGTGTGTACAGAAACCCAGAGCCACAACAGCCTGACTGAACTTACATGCAAGTTGTATTTACCCTTTAAGAGGTGGATAGCTATTGTAACATTAAATTCTTTCAAAATGTATAGTAAAGTAGAAGCTTCACAAATATTTGTATTAAGTTTTATGAGCTCCAGTATGTTCTTAGAGTGCTAAATCCTAAGTTAACAACATTGCATACCTTGGCAGTAGCAGTCCTGGTCATAGAATTTTCTTACATGTAAATATCTTCCCAAAGATACTGATTTTTACTCCACCAACCTCCTGTCGAAGGCCCACAGAATGAAGTCCCCAGGGCATCCTATTGAGAACCCCCCTGTACCACCAGGGCCAGTGCTCCTGTGCAGAATTGGAAACGTTTCCCCAGGTGCTTCAGATGACCAAGCACCAGTGCAGGACCGTGGCCACGTCCAAGGAGCCCACCCTGGGTCTTCCTGTTTGACCCTTAAAAGGGTCAAAAGGGTTGTCCTTAAAAGGGTTTTTTTCCAGGGGAGGGGAGGGCAGTGTCCAATGAATGGGCCCCACAGGAACTGTAGCTGTGCTCTGAGTGCCGTCCATCGGCCTCTCTGTCATTCTGAACCTGTGTCCCATCTAAGAGGACTTAGAAAAAATTTCAGAACGCACTTTCAGCGACGGTGCCCCATGCCGGCCCAGGACTTCCCTGGCTGCGATCTTGGCCCCAGGAAGGGGACCTAGAAAAATTTTCAGATGGCACTCTCCATAACTGGGCACTAGGTGGGCCGAGCCCAGGGTGCCCTAGCCTGGTCACCTGAGAAAGCACAAGTCGGTCCCCACGGGCGGAGGGGACCTCGGTGAGCTAGTCAGGCAGCCCGCACAATTCCCAGATGCTGCTCGCCCCGCTCCTGCAGGATCGATCTCTTGGGAGCCCGTACTGATGCGGCGCATGTCGCCTCCGAGATGACCCTGCCGTTGCTCCCCGGCCTCCTGGAATTTAATCCTGGGCTCCGCAGCCAGATCCTGTCCCACGCTTTAGGCTGCTGAGCTCCAGGGATGATATAAAAGTGGCCACCAGGGGACGCTCGACAATGAGTGCGATCCTGACAGACTTGGACACCCAGAAGCTACCTCATCCAGGTGTCACTTCAACTTGAATCTCGGCCCATAGCGGTCAGAGGGTGACCTGGTGGGCCCGCAGCACCCTCCACGGAGCTCTCTGAATGGCCAGGCTAATGCCAGCCTCCAGAGGGGGACTTAGAAAATTTTCAGGAGGTGCCCCCGGTGACCAACCTCATGTGGGACTGTGACCTGGCCTCTTTGGCCATCCCAGTTCAGTCTCCAGGGAGGCTTAAAAACATTTTTGGGAAGCACATCTGGCAACTGAGTCCCATGTGGGATCATGACTGGGCTCAACCACTCCCCAAGCGGTCCCAGTCTGCCCCCCTACTGCCTCTCTCTGGAAGAGGGCCCGGAAATGTTTCAAGTGACGTGATGCAAACATGGGACCACAGCTGTGTCTGAGTACCCTCCCTTGGCTGGCTTTCTGGCCCAGATTCGTCCCTACCAAAAAAGGGGGACTTAAGCACTTTTTAAGTGGCCACCTCAGAAGACAGTGCCCTAAACAGGACCACAGCTGGCTTCGGAATGCCCTCCGCAGCCTCACTGGCCACTCGGGATGGTCCAGGTTTCAGAGGGGTACTTAGAAATGTTTTGGGGGGTTGCATCCAATGACCAGACCCTAAGCGGATCACTGAGCAGACCGGGGGCACCCCGCCCCTGGGTCTCCCTGGTCTGCCTCTGCCCATCTTTCCTTGTGGAGGAGGCTTGGAAAACATCGGAAACCATTGGGATGCACATCTTCGATCCAAGACCTGGGCCACCCCATGGGCATTTATGTCCAGCCTGGGCCAGTCGTGGCCTAGGGAGAGGGATTTCAGAATCTTTTCAGGAAGGAATCTTAAAGACGCCACCCAAGCAGGACTGGGACAAGTCAGTGCATCCTCACCCAGCCTCTCTGCCAGCCTGAGCCCATGTCCCCTCCCATGGTGGAAGAATACAATGGCCAGGGCACATCAGAATGGCATCCAGGTCACGGTCACACCATCCAGGACATACTGGTCCATCTGGTCCTGTCCACATCACGAGAGAGGATCAGAAATGCTTTTTTTCACGGCATTATCAGAAAACAAAAACAAAAACAGCAGCCAAACAAACAAAAAGGAAGAAATGCTTTTGGTTGGTACCTCCTTAATTAAATAGGTTCCCACCCAAGACCACTGCGATGCCCCCAAGGCCCCCACCCAGAGCTCCTCGGCTGGCCCTGGCCTGTCCACACTGATCAGGACATAGAAATGTTTTCGGGGGATACTTCTGTTGACAGAGCCCTAGGTGGGACAGTGACGAGGCTGAAGGTGCATTTCTTGGGCCTCCATGTCTGGCCCAGGCCTGTCCTGGCTTCCGCAGAAGGTCACAAAAACTTTTCAGGGTGTGGTCCCATGACTAGGACCCATGGCACCCTCTGAGGGTCTGCCTGTCATGCCCAACCCAATGCCTCGCCTTTGAATGCGGACATGGGCCCTGTTCCATGAAAGGGCTGTCTACACAAAGTGACCCCCAAATGCAGAAGGAGCCACAAAACCAGAGAACAAGGCAAACCCAGTTTGTCAGCAAAGAGTGATTTACTGGGGAACTTAGAGACGGAAGCGTGGTCTTGGGCGGCAGCAAGCCAGGTAGATATCCACACCTGTCACCCCCCAGACCCAGGGCTTATTTACCATAGGGAATGGGGATCTGTGAAAGTCACAGAATTGAAGTCAACCCTCCAGAACAGACAAGAACACTATGTGCGTTATAGCCTGTAATTTATACGATAACATCAAGGTTGCTGTGATCTCGTGCAGAAGTTATGGTCAGTGCATGTTCTTCCATGAGAGACACTAAACACAGTAAAACTCAGGAGGCATTCCCAAGACTGGCATGAATCTAAAATTAACATGGCAGATTCGCATCCAAGATGGAGTCACTTTTGTCTCCACAGGTCTGTTTTCAGGAGGCACCAGCAGGTGGGTTCAGTACCAGGACCCTGGCAGAACAGCCTAGCCCAAGTATCCACTGTGAGTCTCTCTGGCTAGACTGTGCCTGTCCCCACCACCAAAGAATGACTTAGAGAAATTTATGGGGGTACATCCAGTGATCAGCCCCCATGTGGGACTTAGGGAGGACCCAGGGCAACCTCCAAGGGTCTCCTTGGCCAGTCTGGGACAGTGCCTGTGCCCAACTTCAGAAGGGAACTTGAATATGTTGGCCCAAGGAGCCATCTCTGAGGCTCACTGGCCAAGTCCAATCTCTGCCACCAGAGGAATACTTAGAAGCAATGTTGGTGGGTACCTCCCAGGGAGGGGTCCCATGCAGGAGGGCACATTCCCCAGACCACCTCGCTGGCCCCCCTGCTTACTCCTTCTAGAAGAAGACTTTTAGGGTGCCCTCCTCAGGCCTCTCTGGCCTGTCTAGATGATCCCTGTCTTTAGAAGAAATTTTTGAGGGGCACATCTGGCAACTAGGTCCCATTGTGTGATTGAAAGCAGACACAGGTTGTCTTCCCCCGGAGTCCCTAGCTGGCCTGGTTTCATTCCTTCCCCCCATCCTACCTCTAAGAACTTACAGATATTTCTTGGAGGCACATCTGACAATCAGAGGCCCATGCAGAATGGCAGCTGGACCTGGGGTACCCTCTGCTGTCTCCCTCTCTGGCTGGAGCCACTGCTCACCACTGGCAGGGGGCTTAGGAACTTTTTCAGTCAGAGCCCCCTAAAAGAGGGACCACGTGGGGCTGTGGGCAAACTCAGGTCACCCTCTCTAGGCCCAATCCCCCTTCCTGGTGGGGGACATAAAAATGTTTTGGAGCCAGATGTGGTGGCTTACGTCTGTAATCCCAGCACTTTAGGAGGCCAAGGCAGGAGGATCACTTGAGCCCAGGAGTTAGAGACCAGCCTGAGCAACATAGCAAGACCCCATCTCTACAAAAAAATGTTAAAACTTAGCAGGCATGGTGGTTGCGTGCACCTGTGGTCCCAGCTACCAGGGAGGCTGAGGTGGGAGGATCACTTGAGCCCAGGAGTTTGAGGCTGCAGTGAGCTATGATCGCACCACTGCACTCCAGCCTGGGCGACAGAGCAAGACTCTATCTCAAAAAAAGAAAAAAATGTTTTGGGGGGTGGTATCTCCAGTAATGGGCCCTAAGTGGCAGATGGGAGCAGGGAGACCTCTTCAGGCCTCACTTGCCGGTCTGGCCTCTCCCTCCCTCAACAGGGAAACTTAGGAAAAGGGAGGCACATGTGGTGATCAGGCCCCATGTGGGTCCCCTGCCAGCCCACTCTGGCATCTCTAACAGGCCCGTGACAATCAGGCCCATTGAAGTGGTACTTGGAAACATTATAGGGCTAACATGGTACCACCTTCCCTTGGCTTCCCTGTCCACCCTTGGGCCTGTCCTTATCATGAGAGTAGGGTAGGGAACATTTGTAGTTTGTGCTTCCAAAGATTGGCCCCTATGCGAGACCACGGCCAGGTGAGTTACTTCCTCTAGAGGGAAACTTAGGAAACTTTTTGAGAGATGCATCCAGCAACTGGGTGGCACACAGGAACAGGGCTGGCAAGACCCTCCTCCTGTGTCCCTATCTGTCCCAGACAGTCCCACTTCTGGAGAGTGACTGTATAAATTACTGAGAGGCACATCCAAACGCTGGTCTTCACATGGGCCACAGGCAGGCCTAGGATGCCTTTCCTCACTTCCGTGAGCCATCGAGGGACTTGCACAAGGCTGTGTCCACAGGAGGGGAAGTCAGTTCCTTTTGAATCTAAACCTTGGGCTTGGCTGGGCGTGGTGGCCCGCGCCTGTAATCACAGCACTTTGGGAGGCCAAGTGGGAGGATCGCTTGAGGCCAGGAGTTCGAGACCAGCCTGGGCAGCACAGTGAGACCCCATCTCTGCAAAAAATTTAAAAATTAGCCAGGTGTGGTAGTGCGTGCCTGTAGTCCCGGCTACTCGGGAGGCTGAGGCAGGAGGATCTCTTGAGCCCAGGAATTGAAAATTTTAGTGAGCCATGACTGCACCACTGCACTCCAGCCTGAGCAATATAGTGAAACTCTCTCTCTAAAAAATAATAATAATACTAAAAACAATAAACCTTAGGCTTAATCCCAATGTCTCTGTCCTCCACAACAGACCCCAAAGTATACCAAAAGCCCAGGGTGCGCCAGACTCTCTGCTCCAGCCCACCTGTCCAAGGCCTCACTTTGGGATCTGCTACTAATTTCACCTCGTCCACCAGGACCTCCCAGATTCCTTGCCCTGGCAGCCCAGTCCCCCCGCGGCCAGGTCAGGAATGGCCCAAGGTGTATCTTGGTCTCTGGGTGTAGGTCCAGCACAGGCCTACCCTCAGTGACTTCTCAAGACAGCTGTGCCACAAAGAAGGAGGAGGGGGGCAGAGTGGAGACTGAGGCCGGGTGAGGACCGTGGAGGGTCTGCTGTGAGGATTCCAACCAGCGAGAGATCTCCCTGCAAGGCCTAGGGCTAGGGCTCACTGAGGGCTTGCTGACTTTTCTGAGTCATACAAAAATCCGAACAAAAATCAAACAAAAACACCCACACTCCAAAAATCAAACAAAAACACCCACACTGGCTCACACCGCCACCTGTGTCTTAGTGGTGGCATTTTAATGGCTTTTGTTGGTGGCAGCAACAGCAAGAGGAGAGGGAGAGTCTGCCTTGCCCCCAGAGGCTCCGAGGGGGCATCCTAGCACGTCTAATCATTCTCGTTCCATTGAACTGAGGCCAGGAAGGTACGGATTTCCATGGGCTCCAGTGTGACAGCGGCCGGGTCCAGTAGGTAGGGAGTGGAGCGGGGTCTGGGGCCTGGGGAGGTGCAAGGGGGGTAGGCGGAGTGAGGGGTGCAGACTTCTTCTGCCTCACCCCACTGTGCTCCCTCCCCTGGGCCTGCACACAACAGTCCCTCCCCAAATCTGTCGCCAGGGCCTCCCAAACCCCTTAAACTGCTTCTCCAGGCCTGACTATCACGCCCCAAATCCCCTCCAGTGCCTGGTCACAGCCCTCATACCCTCTGGCCAACCCCAGTGGTAAAGGACACCCTCCCAGAACTAGACAGGGCAGAGATTCTTGTTCTTGGGACTAAACTCCATCCCCAAACCTTCAAGACACATTGCTAGTTTGCTGCCCCATTGCAGATCCTTAAGCCCCTAACCTGGACCCTAGGCCTCAGGTGAGGCCCCCAGCTGCCCGCCCCAGGCAGGAACCCCCAACCCTTGGCCAGGTCGCCACCTGTGTTTGGTCTCCACTTGAGCCGGGAAGCGGTGGCCCAGGGCTGGTTGGCCGCCAGCGTGGTCTCCTGCAGGCTGGTGATGGTGAAGGCGGAGAACATGTCCTGTGGGCAGTGGATGGGTCCAGGTGAGTGCAGGCAAAGCGGCCCGGTTTCCCCTCTTCCCCTCTCTCGCCTCTCTGGTCTCCTTCCCAATTCCACCCTCCTCACCCGCAAGTCCAAGGTCACAGGGGAGCTCAGGTTGCGTAGTGAATCCTCCCCTACGGCAAACTGGTGCTCCAAGCGCAGCAGCAGCATCCCCGGGCCCCAGCGGGCCAGTGTGAGCAGGTGCACCGAGGGCGGCAGCTCCCGGCGCAGCCCTGAGAACTGCGGAAGACAGGACGGGCGATTGAGTCGCAGAGGGGCGGAGCTTGGACGGAGAGGGGCGGGGCCGAGCTGCGGTGGGGGCTGCCGGGTGGCGTAGGGGCGGGGTTTAGCCAGGGATGGGCGGGGCTCGGCCAAGTTGGGCAGTCAGGGCGGGAGAGCTGAGCCAATGAGGGGATAGGGCGTTCCGAAGCTGGGGGCGGGTTCCCAGACCCGGGAGTCCTGGCCGGGAAGGGATAAAACTCTAGCCTGAGACCTTGTGGCTTTAGGGCGAGGCTGACCGAGGGGTGGGGTAAGGCAGGACAGAGCCTGGAGGAGGGAGGGGATGGGGGCGCTTATGGGGCAGTGGGCGTGGCTTAAGTGAGATGGCGCGGGGCCAAGGCGAGGAGGTGGTTAAGGAGATCCACCTGGGGCTATGCCCTGATACAGTCCAGGTGGGCTGTGGCTGGGCATGGGGCTGAGAGGGACTAGTTATGGCCTCCCCAGGGCAAATTAGGGGAGGGGGAGGGCCAGGTGGGTCCCTGAGGAGCCCAGGAGAACCCGCACGCAACCCCGCCCCCTGGAGGCCTCATTCTGGTCCGCCCTTTCTGCCTGCGCTGTCGCCCCTCACCTGCTTGCGTGGAGCAGCCCGGAGGTTGTAGGGGGCGCCGCCACCCTGGGACAGCACCACCTGCGGGGCCAGGACCTCCTTCTCTGCCAGCAGCCGGTGTCCCGCGGCCGCAGTCTGGACGGTGTCCAGCAGCACGAGGTGGCGCCCTCGCACCCATGCCCCTGACCCTGACTCCAGCAGTGGCTCCCCTACTCCACGTCTGTCATCTTTCACCAGCCTCCGGTGCACCTGGGAGGAGAGTGGCCGGGAGAGGGTGAGGGTCATAGGTCTCTCGGGTGTCCCTGGGCCAGAAATTGGGTAAGAGCTTGTGGGAACGTCAAGAGAAATTAAAGAGTAGGGGGGACAAGATGAGGATGAAGGCGAGGATCTGGTAGGGGGACCCCAGCAGAGGCGGATCCAACCCGGCAAGGGGACCAGGACAGGGGGAGGTAAGTACCTAACACGCGACCCAGATAGGGCATGTCAGAGCCTGCAGGGGGTGCCTGGGTAGGGATCAGATAAAAGCTGGGGAAAAAGTCAAACATAAGAATGGAGTTCTCAGCTTAGTGGCGGTCACAAGCCTTCAGAAACAGCCTTCAAGGTCCTGCAGGGGGACCTGGCCTGGATGGGGCTCTGACCTACTCACCATGAGCTCCAGCGAGCCATCTCTCACGCTGCTTCCCCCCTGGGAGCGGTCGGTCAGCACGGTCAGCTGCACTTTCCCATCCTGGGGGGTGAGGGGCAGAGTGAGGGGCAGAGGTTCCACCCAGCCCCAGCCTCAGGCAGTCGGAAGATGATTCAGATGAGGGGTGGCTCCCACTCTGTAGCGGCGGGGAGGGGGCGGGGTGGGGGAGGGGTACCGTGATATAAATCCGGGTGTTCACTGGATAGTAGTTTCCTGCCACCGGCTCGGTCTGGTTCAAGTTCCAGGTGGGTCGATAATCCCGCCTGGGGTGCGGTGTGATTTGGTCATGTTTGGGGTCTGTGTCCCCCACTCCTCATGCCCCCTTCCCCCTCTCCCTCCCACACTCATGTGATCAGAAAATGCCCCCACTGCCCATGGGCCCCAGCACACCGCAAACCACCGTTCCATGCCCTCGGTCAATCCCACCTCCTCTCCAAGATTTCACGGCCATTGCTGTCTGTGTAGAAGACTCCGTCTGTCTCCAGCGACGTGTCAAAGCGACTGATGACCTCCTTCCCCCAGGAATCGCTATAACCGATGGGATGGCAAGGTTGTGGGCCTCACTTAAACCCAGCTCTGTCCTTGCCCCCCACACCCCAGCCCCAGCCTGTACCACTCACCCCACAGGGATGGGCCCCACCGTCCACTCCAGCTCCAAGTGCCGCTGTCCTGGATACAGGCGAACCACCTGGGAACACCATGCTGAGAAGTTCTGGTGCACCTCCTGCACCAAGGCCGTCTGCGGGCACATGGGGATGAAGGGCAGGTATCAGCCCACACCTGAGCAGAGGTAAGCTCTGCAAATGTGCCCCCCACCCATAAATGCCAACATCAGGGTTGACCCCACCAATGGCATGCCTGCACTTTCTACTACAGTCACTGCCACATAATTCTTGAATGTGGCATGCATGCTTGCTGCCTTCCACTCCTTCATGTCCCCTCCTTAGAATAAGATTCTAGCTTGGCACATGGCTACCTGGAATAAAGGTAGACTGTCTAGTCTTTCCTGAGACTATCAGTAGCTGTGTGACTATGGTTTGCTCCCCGCCCCCCCACTATGGAAAGTAATCAAAGTGATGTGAACAATGATCCTTGTCCCTTTCCCTCTGCCACTGGCTCAAATGCAGATGTGATGGCTGGAGCTTGGGCAGCCATCTTGGGCCATGATATAGAAGCGGACTGTTGAGGAAGGTAGAGCAATGAGAGAGAAGGGGTCTGGTTGGCTATGGAACAACCCCACCTTCCCTGGATGGCCCGGCCAGACTTTCTGTTAAAAGGAAAGAATCTATCTTGTTCTAGGCACAGTTAATTTGGGGAACTCTGTTCAAATAGGCAAAACTACATCTTAATACAATGACCTAGGCGTGCAGATGTTCACCTCAAAGGGAAGCACATCAAAGGTGAGGCCCTTGAACCTGCGCAAATGTCAGTGTTGCCATTACCTACCCTGTTCCCACCATAAGAGGAAACATCAGTGAGAGGCCTTGGGAAACGGCTGCTTCCAGCCAGATGCACCCTCACATATCCACCCTAAGTGAGACTCACCTAAGGCCTCACCAAGTGTCAACTCTTAAATATCCACCCCAGATATAAACTCTTCTTACTACAGATCCCTGGGCAAAAGTGATCCTCCTACCTCAGCCTCCCAAGTAGCTGGGACTACAGGCACATGCCACCAAGCCCAGGTGATTTTTCTATCTTTTGTAGTCTCCTTTGTTGCCCAGGCTGGTCTCAAACTCCAGACCTCAAGCGATCCTCCCACCTCGGCCTCTCAAAGTGCTGGGATTACAGGTGTCAGCCACCGTGCCTGATGCTTGCTGAACTTTTGAAGCAGCTACAATTTTCTCCCCCCATTCATGGGCTAAGTGGGAACAGGCCACCCCCAATCTCCAAAGCTAAGTATAATTGTGACACCCACAGATGCGAATTGCTTTGTATGTGTCGGGAAAGACTCTTACACAGTCAGCCCTGAATATCAACCCTGTGGGAGAACCCTCAAATATTCCTAAGACTCGGGTCTTAGCTCCCTTATCTGAAGATGTCAATCCTTCCACCCACACTCTGCACACAGCCCACCACCCTCCTGGGCTCCACACCTTCCCCACTCCCCCTCTCCAACTGCCCATTTGTCATTCCTGGTCACAGACCTTCACCAGTTGAGTTTGAGCCCAGCGCCTCACAGGCAGTGGTTGCTGTTGGCTCGGTCTAAAGATATAAGCACCCGAGGCCTGGGAGCTTATTCTGTCACCTACACTGGCGTTGTACCTGCAGTGGGGCAGGTGAGAGTCAGGTCCGGGCTCCACGCACCGCCCCCCTCCCTGCACCTGGTAGCCCTGCCTCACCAGAAGAAGGCCTGCTGAACAGGTAGCACGAGGTTCTTCTCCAGGTTTTCAATCTCCACCAAGAGCCCCGTTTTAGGGCTGAACGTTGCACGGATGTACTGGGAGAAAACAGTTGACAGATGTTAATCACCGCTGCCTCAGCCAACAGCAACCCCATCCGTCCCAGGGCTCAGGACAAAACCCTGGTGTCACCCTTACCTCCTGCCACTGTCTAACCCCTCACATGTGATCCTAGTAGCCCAGCCCAGCCACTTCATCTCCAAGCTTATCCTCAATCTCCCCACTTTCGGGCCTTCCAGGACTAGTGCAGGTCCCAGTTCCCTGCAGGCCGCCCCACAATCTGTTCCCCGCAACAGCCAGAAGGCACCTGTGACAGCCTAAGTCTCATCATAGCCCTTGTCTTCTCCAAACCAGGGACAACTTGGGCATCTGATCCAGGAACCAAAAATGCCAGGACTCAAGAGACTTTTAGGGGCCCACAGGACTGTTTGGACTTCTTTTAGAATCAGAATAAAACACGAATACAATAATAATAAATTATAATGAACCTGCCTAGTCATATTTATTGTCATAACAACACCATCATAAAAATTAAATTTTTTTTTAATGGAAGAAATGGCCCACAAAGGCAAAAGTGCTAGGGCCCAGGACAGTCTTAATGCAGCCCTGTCCTGCCGGTGGCTCCTTTGCAGTACAAGCTAAAGTCTTCCTATTGGTCCTCAAGGCCTGACCTGTCACCTCCTTATCCTGTCCACAAGGAACACGGGGTTCCTTGTGGTCACTTGAATACGGCACACCCTCCTGCCTGAGGGCTTTTGTGTGTGCTGTGTGTGCTCTGCCTGCCCAGATCCCTCTTGTCCCAAATAGCCACACAGCTTTCTCCCTCAGGTCTCACCTTAAATGTCACCTTCTCAATAAGGCCTTCCCTGACACCCCCTCTAAAATTACAAACCAAAACCTGCCATCAGCTCCGACCTATCAAGTGTCACCCATGATCACACTGGGTCCTCATAATAACCCCAGGAAAGGACACGGAGGCTCAGACAAAGGTCACTCCCTCAAGGACACACAATCAGGGGAGTGGTGATAACAGACCATGAACCCAGGACCTGCTGACCCGGAGTCCATGTGGCTCACCATGACACTGAAAATTTGTCACAGAGGGCAAGGAAGGGGATCTGAATGGGGTCTCACCTCATTTTCAATGGCCAGGATGTGGGATGAGGAATTCTTGGGTCTGGGTTTTGGGGTGCGGGCCTGGGCGTCCCGGCTGGTCAACAGGTCTACTGAATAGACGCTGAAGCCCAGGGCAGGCACTGAGGCTGAGAACAGCAGCTCTGAAAGGTCCTTCTGCTCTGTGCTGGGACTTACCACCACCTGGGGTAAGGGAGGAGGGAAACTGAGTCAAGGTACTGTGAGTACACATACATGGAGGTATCAAACTCAAGGTGGGGGAAGGAGCCCTGGGATGGGGGAAAAAAATCTAGGTGTTGTGGGGGGCTGATGGGGTTGGCAGATTCCACAGAAAAAATTGCACGGAAGATTCACAACGTGGTAAAAATCTACTGGGAGGATGGAGAGACCTGGGGAGCAGTGAGGGAACAAGTAAGGGAAGAGATACTTGAGGCAAGAGAGAGATGGGAAGATTTTGGGGAGAAGAAGAGGTTTGTGGGAGGAGGCTTTCTGGGGTAAGGGGATACTCATAAACAGGAAGAAAATTTCCGGCGTGGGGTGGATATGAAAAAGGGGACCTCTCACGGGAGGCAGATGATCCCAAGGTGGGCTGATGTTAAGGGGCAAAGAGGGAAGAGGCATTCATGGGCAGGAAGTGTTCATGGAGGGGGTTGGTATTCAGGAGGGGTGGTGCCCAAGAGAAGGAGGTGTCCAAGAGGGGAGGGGTGAACTGTCCATAAGGAGAAGTGTCTAAGGGCGGAATATTCGTCAAATGGGCTCACAGAGCTCTGCACAGTCCTGCCATTGGGGTCCCTCACGAGGAAAACGCCTTTTGTGACCGGCAGCCGCACCATCCAATCCACCTTCCGTGCCAGGGGGTTATACACGGTGACCTGGAACTGGGGTAAGAGGGTCAGGGAGGGGATGGGTCACAGCAGGCCTTCTCCAAACCCATCCACCTTGCACAGCCACGTCCCTGAGTGGTCCCGGTGTGGTCAAGGCCCTCCAGGCCAAACTCCTTCGTGGTGCATTGGTCTCTGTCCTGTCCCAGCTTCACTGCACCCCAGGTCATCTCACCCCACCCAGTACAGTCCTCCAAAGAAATTTCGCAGCTACCCCCTGTACAGTCCATCGACCCCCTCTTCGCCCCACCGGGCTACCTGCAAGGTTTCCCCTGCTCTGGTGGCACCCGCCGGACCTGCCTCCCGGCCCCGCCCCTCCCGCCTGGCTCACGCTCGCCGCTTTCTGGCTGAGTGGGCAGATGCTGATGTTGAGGTTGAGGCAGAACGTGAAGACGTCCTTGGAGCCACTGAGCCACGCCAGCGCGTTGCTCAGGAGAACCTGGGGAGGAGCCCAAAGGGACGGGTCAGCTTCGGAGGATCCCTTCTGCGGCTCCTCCCGAACTCTCCTACGACTCGCGGCGTTCCTGTCTCCGCCTCTCATAGGCCCCGCCCCCACTACGAGCTCTTCTAGGCCCCACCCCGCTGCCCTAGACCACGCCCCACACACGCCTTCGCCCTATCCTGTCTCCGCGCTATCATCCGAGAAGCCCCGCCCCCAAGCCTTTTCCAGGCCCCGCCCGGCTGCCATCCACCACGCCCCACACCTGTCTCCGCCCCGGTCTCAAGTTCTCAACCCGCCCTCTTCCTGTCTCCACCCCTCCCCTGCTCCGCCCCACGCACCTCGCACGGCCCCCAGCCCTCAGCTAGCTGGCGCGCGTAGTCGTCGGCCACGTGCTGTCTGGAGGTGCCGCTGACCGCGTCGTGATGCTGGAGCACTGCCATCGCCTCATCTGCAGGCCGACGGTGAGTCGGGTGGGGTTCCACAGGACTCCCGGCCCCGACCACAGGGAGAAGCCAGAAGTCTCCGGTGGACAGCGTTCTTTGGGGCTTTAAGAGGGTACTCAAGGGGGCGACCTAGGGATGGTCTCCAGCTTTGGCCCCGCCCCTGTCCCCTCGGTGGCCCGACACCTACTGAGGGGTGCACTGTTTCCTGAGCCATAGGGTCCCACGTTGGCTGCCGGACCCGCCAGCGCCTCCAGCTGGTTGCACACCTGGGGGGCAGGGAGTATGTTGGGGCACCGGGCCTGCCGGGCCTCCTGGGCTGCCGCCTCGAGCCCGGTACCCACCCACCTGCAGGAAGTTGTAGCTGAGGCGCTCGTAGCGTTTGAGGGCCGGCCGGCTGGTGAAATAGCCGGTCCAGAACATGTGGGGGCCGTCCGCATAAGGGAAGAAGTCGTCGTGTTTCACCGACCTGCAGCACCAGGGGCATTGACAGCGGGGTCATGACCCACCAGGGCATGCCAACCCCCCTCCAAGCTTCCCAGTCCCCACAAATACCAGGTGAGGTTGGCCTTGTTCAGCTCCCAGAGGTAACAAGCAGGGGTGGAGTAGAGAACATTGACGCGGCTCCCGTTTGCCTGCTGCTGGGGGAGGCGTCTGTGTGAGCCCGCGGGAGTCCACACCTTCCCGGGGGCCCACAGGGGTGCGTGTGCACACTCCCACACGTGTGCACACATTCACGCATCCAGTAGGTTCAGAGGCTCTGAACACACATTTCAAGTGCAAACCAATGGTCCAGTGTGAAAATGAATTTGGGCTGAAGCCAATATTACCAGCCTTGAAAGGATTTCAGAGATGCAAGAAGAAACCTGAACTTTTACTAAACTCCTTTTTATTAATTCCGATTTTATTATTAAAAACTGTCATGGACAAACTAAGTGTGACATTATAGGGCAGGAATAATCATTTTTCAGCAGCCAGCATCAGATTGTTACCAAAAGACACAATTTTTATAACGGATGGAAGCTGACTTTCAGCCGAGGAAGGTGGAGGAACAAGATGACCTCCATGAGGAAAAGGATGTTTGTTCTGCTGGTGCTGTGTCCCCAGTGTACACAGTAGGTGCTCAATTAACATGTGAGTGGACAAAGGGCTGTACATGGGACTACAAGCTTTATGTGCATACACACAGTGAAATACACAGACACACATTCATACACTGTGTTCATTCAGCAGACAGTCACTCAGTTCTTCAGTATGCTCAGGATTGCAGACACAATCTAGAACCAGAGAGGCCAGCCTCCACCCTCATGGAATTCATAGCCAAGTGAAGGACAGAGACATTGAACAGATGGCCAGTTGGTTACGACTGACATGGATGTGACATCTTAGCTACGCACTGAAGCTGGTATAAGCAGAGGAAAGATCAGGGCTCTGCCTGGGGTTAGGTGAGGGCTTCCTGGAGGAGGAGACATTGCATCTGGTGTCTTAAAGCAGGAGCAGGAAGTTTTCAGCCAGAAATAATGATAAACAACCACTAAAACGTATTATGTGCCAGGCACTGTTCTACTGGTCTATGCCAATAAACTCATTAAATGTTCATTAACAGCCCTGTGAGATGGGGACCACCATTATGCCCATTTTCTTGATGAGAAAACTAAGGCCCTGAGTGCTGAAAATCATTTCTTAAAGTCACGGAGCCAGTAAGTGGCAAAGCCAGGATTTGAACCCAGGGACTCCATTTCCAAAGTTTGTAAAATGGAATCAGTGACAGGAGAAACAGCAAGAGAGTGTGACATCATGGTGGCCCAGGGACATGGTATTTGCAGAAGAAAGTGGTCAGGATGTTGAAGCCTCTGCAGGGGGCAGGGGCATGGGAGGACTGGGAAATGTCTTTTGGAAGGCCCTGGGTGACAGTTGGTTACTGGGAGCTGTTTCTGTGAAACAGCTGTTCAGGGAGCAAGTGGGGAGGTGGGGACAGAGACTGCACAGGTAGTAACATGTCTGAGATGGGACAGGGGAAGAAACAAGTTTCTGTGCTGATGGGAAGTAGTGACTGCCTGTGCCCACAGCTACAGCCACAGGCCACTTACAGGGACACATCAACACATCTGTGGTAGGTAGAATAACCACCCAAAGATGTCCATGTCCTTTTGATCGCCAGAACCTATGACTATGTTAGGTTGTGTGGCAAAGGAAGGCTGCAGGTGCAGTTAAGGTTGCTTATCAGCTAATCTTAAAATAGGGAGATTATCTTGGATTATATAGCAGGCCCAATGTCACCACAAAGATCTTAAAAATTAGAAGAGGGAGGCAGAAGAGGTGAGAATGAGAGAAAGAGATGTGATTATGGGACCAGGTCAGAGAGCTGCTATGTGGCTGGCTTTGAAGTTGGAGGAAGTGGCCACAAGCCAAGAAATGCAGACGGTCTCTAGAAGCCGGAAAAAGCAAGGAAACGTATTCTCTCCTGGGGCCTCCAGAAGGAACCAGCCCTGCCAACTCCTTGATTCTAGCCCAGTGAGACCTATGCCAGACTTCTGACCTACAGAACTGTAAGACAATGTATCTCTGTTGTCTCTGAGCTGCTAAGTTTGCAGTAATTTGTTATGGTAGCAATAGAAAAACTAAGACAGCACCCGGAGCTATGCACATGACCCAAGGCCCAGGAATACAAGCACATACATGCACGCGGGCATCGCAAGGTAGGCACACTGACCTCAGCATTGACCAGCCGGATGAGTTTGTCAAGATTCTTGAACCACATGTTGGCATTCTCATATTGGAAGTCCGAGCCCATGGTCATCACGGTGTGGTTGGTGCGGTAGTGCTGGCTCTGCAGACCAGAGGGGAGTCCTTAGGCCAGGGTGTCCTGGGCCACCCCTGTGTATAGCTGTGCCTCGGTATGTATGTGGTTAAGGATGTAGGGGCATGGGACTATGGCACATGGCAGCATAGAGACACAGATGAAAGTAGCCACTAGTTGTTGAGCAATTCTCTCGGACCTCTATACAGATGAGGGTATGGGGGCACTGGGCCATGCTATCTTTCCTAATGACAAATGCACACAAATGTGGAAGAGGGGTGTGGCAATGGTCAATGGAATACTATATTCCTCCAAGGGATATGAAAAGGTTTTAGGGCACGTGGGCCATGGAAAGGACTCGGTGCCTTGTATACGTGAGATGAGACCTGCAGGTTCTGGACAGCAGGGTTACCTGCGAAACGGCCAGACGCAGGAAGTAATTGACCAGATCCTTGGCGTTGTACTCGGGGCTTTGGGGGTCCTCCACGACAGGCCCATCGTCACACAGCACATCCCAGCACAGATTGTTCGGCGGATTGTAAATATTGGGGAGCACACCTGTGGGGCCACACCAGGCTCAAGGGGTGCCCCAGCATCCCACACCTACCCTGGAGTCAGAGTTTGCCATGCCCCACCCAGGAAGGGCTTCAGAACTTGCAGGGCCCAGTGCACAAGGAAAATGCAGGACCCCTGTCCACAGATTACTAGGAATTCTAGGACAGTGACCAAAGAGCATTAAACTAAGCCCAGGGCCCTTCTGAGCATAGGGCCTATGGGCCAGCCCTGCCCCCACTGGGCCCCCTCACCAGTGAAGAGGTCGGCGATCGGAGGCCTCAGGCTGGCACTGGCCTGCCACAGCTGCTCCATCTCTTGTGTCCCCTCGCGCTCCAATTTATCTTGATAATCAATGCGCCCCAAGAAGAAGCCATCAAAGCCCATCTAGGGGTGGGGCAGGAAGAGACAGTGTGAATCAGTGCCCAGCACTGTCACCAAAGCTCCTCTCAGCTCTGGGGTGGCAAGTAAGAGCCCAGGTAGAAAGCAGGGCTGGGCTGGGTGCAGTGGCTCACATCTGTAATCCTAGCATTCTGGGAGGTCGAGGTGGGAGGATCACTCCAAGGTCAGGAGTTCAAGACCAGCCTGAGCAAGAGTGAGACCCCATCTCTACTAAAAATAGAAAGAAATTGGCTGGACAACTAAAAATATATAGAAAAAATTAGCCGGTCATGGTGGCACATGCCTGTAGTTCCAGCTACTTGGGAGGTTGAGGCAGTAAGATTGCCTGAGCCCAGGAGTTTGAGATTGCTGTGAGCTAGGCTGATGCCTCGGCACTCTAGCCCAGGTAACAGAGCAAGACTCTGTCTCAAAAGAAAAAAAAAGAAAGCAGGGCTGAATAAGGGAGACCTCCAGTTTCCTTCCAGGTTTGAGAAAGGACCAGAACACATCACCCTAGGAGAACAGGGAGCTGGTAGATTGAAAGCCAGAACCCACCTCCACCTCTCCAGTGTGGTCACAGCCCAAAGGAGGCCTGATTCCAGGAGGGAGGGCCCCTTCTGCAGCCTGAGGATGGGTGGGGACAGAGCACAACTAATGACAAAGTCTTGATCTGTCACCCAGGCTAGAGTGCAGTGGCACGATCATAGCTCACAGCAGCCTCAATCTCCCAGGCTCAAGCAATCCTCCTGCCTCAGCCTCCCGAGTAGCTGGGACTGCAGCAGCTATAGGTATGTGCCACCACGCCCAGATGATTTTTCTATTTTTTTTAGAAATAGGGTCTCGCTATGTTGCCCAGGCTGGCCTCAAACTCCTGGCCTGAGGCGATCCTCCCTTCGCAGCTTCCCAAAGTGCTAGCATTACAGGCGTGAGCAACTGTGCCCAGCCCAAAGCCAGTTTTAAAGCAGAGTAGAGCGAGACAGAGTGGCTCACACCTGCAATCCCAGCCCTTTGAGAGGCCGAGGCAGGAAGATCGCTTGAGGCCAGGAGTTCAATACAAGACTGGCCAACATAGTGAGACTCCCATCTCTACAAAAAAAGCAGGGTAGGCACCCACATGAAACCCAGCTTGGGGAGAAGCCAGGATCGTGGCAAGTGGATGGGGCCAGAACACGGAGAAGGGAAGGTCAAGAAAGGAGGCGGAGCCAGCCCCAGCTGGGTTAGTCTGGGGCCTCAACATAGATAGCTGACTGAGGCCAGAGCAGTAGAGGCATGCCAGTCACTCAAGGGGCAGGGCCTCATCGGGCCAGCAGGACATCACTGAGATTGCAGGGGAAGGGCGGGGCTTGAGTGGCCATGGGCGGAGTCAGAGCAAGTGAAGGGGCAGGTCCAAGAGCGGTTGGGGCAGCACCTGGGAAAACAGCGAGGCCTGTTCCCTAGAGTGGCCGAAAGGGTCTATGTGCCAGGCCACACGGGGGCGCCCATCGTTGCCGAATGTGTCCTCCAGGAAGCGCAGCCCCAGTGTCATCTGGTCCACGATGGCGCCGTAGTGGGTGGCCGCCTCATCGTTCATCACCCAGCCACCGTTGGCAAACTCCAGGCGCCCTGTTCCAGGACAGAAAAGGTCAGGGTCAGAGCCGGGAGTGGGGCCAGGGTGGGTGATGCTGGGGACAAGAAGGCTGGCCTGTGTACTCAGGCCTGGTGGAAGGAGAAGAGGGATTTCTCCCTGGCCAGTGTAGCTGGATAAGGAAAGAGGACCCCTGCATGGCAGGCTTCCCGAGGACCCACTGGAGGTGGGGCCTTGAGGGATGCACAGGAGTTCTGCAAATAAAGGGAGATTCCATGCGGGCGGAGTGGCACGCATGTACAACTGACATGGTGTGATAAAATCTCAGAAACCAGGATTGCAGAAGCAGAAGCTGGGCTGAGCTTCCTTTTTTCACTTCCTTGGGGTTTTCACTTCCTTGGGGCAGGCTCACCCTGGCGCACCAGTTCCCGCACGATTTCCTGTGTTGCATTTGTCTGTTGGTGCCACCAACGAGAGAAGAAGGCGATCTCCACATAGATGAAGCGGCGACTGGGATCTGCCAGAAGGGCTGAGATGACTGAGTCCAGAATGTACTGCACACCGGCGTGCTGGTAGTTTTCCTTGGCTATGGACACAGAGGTGTGGACACAGGCTGTCAGGGGCCAGCATAGCTAAGCAGGATATTCCCAATCACAGGAGCCCAAGGCATTGCCCCCACCCTGATGTCCAGTACCCAGAAGGGACTAGAAGGGCCAGTCCCCACTTTCTACTCACTGCCATAGTAGTACTGGTCCACCGTCTTGAGCCAGCCCACGTCGTCGTGTGTGTGGGCCACCAGGTGCACATTGAGCATGTCTGGCTGTACTGTGGGGCATGTCTGCACAGGGACCCCAAACACACACACACCCTATCAGTAACCCTGGAGTTCAGAGGCAGGCTGGGGTGGGGGTGGGGGTTGGGGGGAGAGTGCAAAGTTAGCCTTGATCTAGAAGTGAGTGACTCAAGAAGTAGACAGGAGGCCTGACCTTGCCTATGTGCAGAGGCCAGGCCCTCCCAGGTAGGACACACACATAGTTGTGCTCACGGATTTAACTCCCACTTTGCACAACCCCACAAAGCAGCTCTCATTTGCACCTAGAGAAAATAATAATAGTAGTAGCTGATGTTTGTTAAGCATTTGCAAAAGGCAGACAGTCACCCTGGGGGATGGGGTGATATTATCCCCAGTTTTCAAAGGAGGGGACTGAGGCTCAGAGAGGGGTGGTGACTTGCCCAAGGTCACACAGCCAGGAAGTGGAGGAGCTAGCCTGGAACTCCAGATGGGCTGACTCCAGAGTCCCAGCTTTCAACCAGTACCCCCTACACACACACACACACACACATACACACACACACACACACCCGCTGCTCACTCCTGGCCCCTCCAATCGCACAGTTAAGTGCACGAAACGTCCAGGCAAGCGACATGTGGACGCAGGTACAATCAGACAGCCCCATTCTCAGATGGGCACAACCAGATCTCGCAATGACACAAAGCACGCACGCAGACCACCCTGTCATATCAGCAACCATTCAGTCGGCACCCACAGAACAGACCACCCACACCTTGGGGCCGGTTCTTGTAAGTTTCCACCCCCAGGCCTAGCTCACCTCGTATCCCGCAGCCCGAGCGCCGGGCGCCGCCAGCAACACCAAAAACAAACAGGGCAGAGGCGGGAGCGGTGGCCGCAGGGCCCCGGAGCTGGTCCGGGGCCCCGCGGCGCGTGGGCAGCCACCAGAGCGGACCAACAAAGCCCGCGCGACGCTGCCCATGGCTCAGAGGTGGCTTCCTGAGGCTTCCCGGGCCCCAGTAAAGAAGGGAAGACGCCCCGCCCCCAGAGCACTGTCTGGCCAATCGGCACCGGTGGAGGCGTGGCTAGGCCGCAGCTTGGCAAGTCACGGGACAGGCTGTATCCCTGGGCAGACCTGGTATCGCTAGGAAATGCAGGAAAGCCCCCCGGCGTGTTCCATCTTCGGACAATTGGTTTGGCCACTAGCGCGTTTGGCGTCTCTCCGGCTTTGTGGGGCCTTAGAGTGCCTCCCATCCCCAGCACTGCAAGGGGAGTTCGTTTGCCCACCTCCCAGTCCCCACAGGATAGAATGGGACCCTCATCAAACTCTGCTCCTAGCCAATCTTGGCCTCTTTGTCCCGGTGGGAGCTGAGGTCTGTTTTTCCCTGCGGGGGGCTGGGTTTTCCTAGGGAATGGGGTGTGTGCATGGGATCCTAGGATGTTCCCTCGACCTTCAGGGCTGGGGACCTCTTTTGACAGCTGTGCTTTTACGTGTATCTTAGAGCCAGATATTGGAATTCACCTTTTGGCTCCCAATAAGCAAAGAAACATGTCTTTCGAAAGAGTGTTAGTTCATAATGTTAAGTTTCCATCTCAAATACTTTCATCCACCGAAAGAAAACAGATAATGCTTCCTCTTTTGACAAGTGTCCGTTCATTTGTGTATTAGGGCCAGATATTCAACTTCGCCTTCTATCTACTAATAGACAAAGAGAAGGGTTTCGAAGCTAGGAGGTATCTAGCTGGTTGGAGACAGACCTCTGGGTTGTCCAGAGAGGAGGGGGGCGTTGACAGGGGGGAAGGAAACAGAATCTTTTATGCCTTTCCCAATTCCTACCAGTCCATCCATGTGATATTAATTTATATGTGTATATGAATGTGTGTATACATGTATGGGTATGTATGTATATGCCATGTGTCTCTATATGTGGGTTTTCCTCTACAGTTCTGGGCTCGTGGTTCCTGCAACCCTTGTTACAGTTTTTTGGTTTAATGTTTAAGCACTTCAGCCTTCAGAAGTAAGAAGTAGGCTTCAGGAAACAGAATGTCTCCCTCTGAGCGTCTCCTGCCCTCCTTTCACCTGCCTACAGCAAGACTCTAATCTGATTGTGGGTCTTAAGACCCTCATTCTAGAGAGTCTTCTTTCCTCCCTGGGGGAAGAAACGCTGCACAGAGAGGCCAAGAATCTGAACAGACAGGACTTGTGGGGTCTCCCTAATCAGTAGGAGATTATCTTCTTTTCGGTCCAGTCACATTTCCACATGCTTGTCAATCATGTCTGTGTAATGAAGCCTGCATAAAAAGCCAAAAGGACAGGGTTTGGGGAGCTTCCAGATGGCTGGATACATGGAGGTTCTTGGAGGGTGGCACACCTGGAGATAGTATGGAAGCTCCACGCCCCTTCCCCCATACTACACCCTACACATCTCATCTGTATCCTTTGTAGCATCTTTTATAATAAACTGGTAAACATGTTTCCCAGAGTTCTGTGAGCTGCTCCAGCAAATTAATCAAACCCAAAGAGGAGATCATGGGAACCCCAACTTGAAGCAGAAGTTCTGGAAGCCTGGACTTGTAACTAGTACCTAAAGGAGGGGGGCAGTTGGGGACTGAGCCCTCAACTTTTGAGATATGATACTATCTCCAGGTAGTGTCAGAATTGAATTGGAGGACACCCAGTTGGTTTTCACTGCAGAATCGAGTGTTCGCTTGGTAGTGGGGAGAAATCCCCCTGAACTTTGGTCACGGAAGTCTTCTTCAGTATTGGCGATTGTTGTGGTGTGAGAGCAGAGGGAAAATGGTTAGTTTTTCCTAAATGATTCAGTTTACAGACATGACTACATTCCTCTAATAAGAAAGCCAAAGCCTGATTCCTTAGGTCAGGAGGACTATTTGCTGAGCTGCCAGAGGGCAAAGGTCACTGTCCAGTCCTTGGCACTTGACTTAAGGCACACGAGGTTTGTGAAATGAGCAAGTGAACCACCAGAAGGCTCCAGACCAGGGCCCCACCCCAGGCCTAAGGAGCTGGAGCCCTTTCTCCACTAGAAGGAGCACCCCCAATGAACAGAAGAGAGAGACTGACAGCCAGAGTGGAAAACATTATTAACACGTTTCAACAAGAAAACAAATGAACACACCTAAAAACATGGACGGCATCTCCCGACAGCAGATAGGGGAGGGGAGGAGAGGCGGGGCAGGAGGGTAGGGTACTCCTCTCTATGCCCCACCAGAAATCAGACCCCAGGGAAAGGGCCATTTTCCCTCCATCTAGCTGGGGGCCCTGTGACCACCTCGTTCAGGGAAGTCCAGGACAGCAGCTGAGGGCAGGAGGCTGAGCCACCAAAGGCCAGGCCTGGGGGAAGGTGGATAGAGCGGATCCAGGATGTGACCCCTCTAGGCTGACATCACCAGGGAGGGGTCATGGGCTGCGGATTCTGCAGATAGGACATCACCACGGCAGAAATGGACAACCTGAGACAGGATAGAGGTGTCGGTTTAGGATGAGTTGGCTTGGCCCACCTCCCCCCAACTCAGAGCCCCTCGATCTCTAGGCCAAGCCTCACATGAAGCTACTCATCATCTGCTTCGTGTCCTCTGAGCTCCGGGAGTTGGCAAAGCTGATGAAGGAGCAGTAGACAGCGACCCAAGCACACCACTTCAGCTGCAGAGAGGGAGGGTGGATGGGCAGGTTAGGTCAGTGAGAGGCGCACCAATGAGCTCCCCAAAAGCCACATTCCCAGGTTTCCTGTCCATCGATTCCACTTGGCATAGCTCAGACCTTGCACCCCAGGAATCCCTCAGTCCCACCTCCTCATAGCATACTCCATATACCTGGTTTCTGGTCTTACTCTCCCTCCTTTTTAAAAAAATATTTAAAGACATGGGTCCCACTTTATTGCCCAGGCAGGAGTGCAGTGGCACGATCATAGCTCACTGCAGACTCCTGGGCTCAAGCGATCTTCCTGCCTCAGCCTCCTGAGTAGTTGGGACTACAGGTGTGCACCACCAGCTGCGGCTTTTCCGTTTTTTTTTCTTTTGACAGAGTCTTGCTCTGTCGCCCTGGGTAGAGTGCAGTGATGTTATCATAGCTCACTGCAAACTCAAACTGCTGGGCTTAAGCGATCCTCCTGCCTTGGCCTCCTGAGTAGCTAGGACTACAGGCATGCATCAACACGCCGACCAATTTTTCTATTTTTGGTAGAGTCGCGGTCTCAGTCTTGCTCAAGCAATCCTTCAGCCTCAGACCCCCACAGCCCTAAGATCACAGGCTTGAGTCACCACGCCCGGCCTTGGCTAATTTTTTAATTTTTTTGTAGAGACGAGGTCTCTCTCGTTATGTTGCCCAGGGCCTGTGTCTCTGACCCCACTGCATCCTCTCAGGCCCAAGACTGGCTTTTGACATCGCACGTGCTAAGGACCCTGCCCTTTTTCTACAAATCCCTCCAAGTTGCTTCAAAGCCTGGCCCCACCCGCAGACCACCCTGCCATGTACCCTCCCTGATCCACCGCCCCCACCGCTTCTCCTACCACTGGGGCTTCCTTGGCCCAGCATCGGCCCCGCCCCCTCGGCGCTGGCCGGATGCCCCGGAGCCCGCCCCCAGACCTAGTTCGCCCGCCAAGCTACACTCGTGGAAGCTCAACCCCGCCCACCTTAAGCATAAGGCCGCACATGCTGAAGATCATGCCCAACAGGTTCATGTAGTCCGGCGTCGGGTCGTCCAAGGCCGGGTTACACTCGCTCGGCGGGGGCTTGTACCTGCGACAAGCTCAAGGGTCAGGGGCGCTCAAGTCCCGCCCCCGGGTGGACAAACGCTTCCCTGCGCCCCGACCCACACTCAACCCGAGCCCCGTTGCCATGACGCTGGGGTCCTCACCTCAGCACTTTGTTCGGTCTCCGTGGGTCCGACATATTGTTCGCGGACATAGCGAGTCAAAGGCCAGGGCGGGCCTCTTCCGCTGCGGGAGTTGCAGCTTCCGGCGGGCAAGCGGAGGATGGCTTTTAGAGTAACACCCAAAGCTCTCGCACTTCCGTTCCTTACAGCGGAGGCCAGGACAACCCCCAGGCAGAGGACAGAGAATTAGAAGAGGCCAGAAATGTTCCTTGACAACAGGACGTGAGGGAAAAAATTGGAAAGCGGGCTTCACTATTCCCAACACTGTCGCCAAAACGCTGAAGTTTTTCACCCGGAAGTGAGAAACAGGAAATAGATCATGGAGGACAATAATAAGGTACACCCAAGCGTGGGTTTCGAAGGCTGGGACAGATATCGGGCGGTGAAGAAGGGATCCCAGAACCATGGCTTTCCCTGAGCCAAAGCCGCGGGGCCCGGAGCTGCCGCAAAAACGGTTAAAGACGCTGGATTGCGGGCAAGGGGCAGTGCGAGCCGTGCGCTTTAATGGTGAGCGCCCTCATCTTCATTCCGAGTCCTCTTCCCGCTTCCCGAGGTTGGCGGCCAGTAACCCCCGCCTGCTGTTCCCCAGTGGATGGCAATTACTGCCTGACGTGTGGCAGCGACAAGACCCTGAAGCTGTGGAACCCGCTTCGGGGGACGCTGCTGCGGACATATAGCGGCCACGGCTACGAGGTGCTGGACGCGGCCGGGTGAGCCGGGGGCTGGGCCGGAACAGGAGCGCCGAAGCTGGGATCGGAGATCGATGCTGACTTTCCCTCTCCTGCCCTCCAGCTCCTTTGACAACAGCAATCTCTGCTCTGGCGGTGGGGACAAGGCGGTGGTGCTGTGGGATGTGGCATCAGGGCAGGTCGTGCGCAAATTCCGGGGCCATGCGGGGGTGAGTGCAAGCCTCAAGACTCGTGGGTAGCAGAGGGGACCCGTATTAACGCCTAGGTGGTGACAGGGACCGCCCCCCTCCCCATTACAGCATAAGGATCCTTCTCCAGATGGTGGGACCATCTCACCCCCACATGGCCAGACCATGCAGTCACCAAGCCCTGTCCTCGCAGTTACCCCAAAAATCTTTCACCTCCCCTACCCCTAGCCTTTGTCCTTGCTTTAACCTACACTGGGAACCCTGCCTTTATCCCAGTCCTCCAAATTCCAGACTCTGAGTGGCAGTAATTGTTTCTTAGAAGGTGAACACGGTGCAGTTCAATGAAGAGGCCACAATCATCCTGTCCGGTGAGTCTGGGGCCTAGGCAGAGGGTCCCAGGGTGGTACCCCTACCCCCCAAACCTGACCTCATCTTCATACTGACCTCACAGGCTCTATCGATTCCAGCATCCGCTGTTGGGACTGCCGCTCTCGGAGACCTGAGCCAGTGCAGACACTGGATGAGGCCAGGGATGGTATATCCAGTGTGAAGGTGTCAGACCATGAGGTACTGGCAGGGTGAGTACAGCCACGACCTTGCCCCTCCCCAGGTGCCACTGCGGATCATAGCTGCCTCTGTGCTCAGATTCAAACCTACTCTCAGCCAGGCACAGTGGCCTGCGCCTGTGGTCCCACCTACTCAGGAGGCTGAGGTAGGATCAC